GTAGTAAAGGTATTAGAAGTAATCGGAGAGGTTAGAATTAGAAGATATTATTCACGAAGTATGATTCAATGAGATAAGTTTAGAAAGTAAGAACTTGAGGTGTTGAAGAACCCAGAAGATTAGGATTTGAGAGAACACAAAGAATAAATGCACTGGCGCCATTGCGAACGATTTTGAGCCATGTCATTCAAAGTCTCTAGCCATCGATTATTATCACCTCGCGGACCCCAACCAGGTTAGGCATACGCAACACGTGTCCCAACCACCTCAACTGATGAAGTTTCATTACTTCATCTATTGATCTGCCATTCTTACCTAGCACCCGTGTCCTAATAACAGCGTTGCTCACTCGGGTGTCCCACGATATACGAGCAATGCTTCGAAGAGACCTATGATCGAAAACCAATAACCGACGAGTATCTTCTACTCTCATTGGCCATTTTTCACAGCCATAAAGTAAGACGGAGCGAACCACTGCGCAGTACACTCGTCCTTTAGTCAGCAAACGGATATCTCGCCTACGCCATAAGTGACGCAAGTTGGCAAAAGCCAATCGAGCCTTCTGTATCCGTGCCGTACCGGTCGGAAAAAAGAATACTGTTACAAGAACTGATCAGTCAAAAGTTGGTTCAACTTGTCCAAATACATTAGTAAAAGATGAACAGGAAAGGAATTGAAACACCTGGATTTCATGTAGTTTTGCATAATATACATACTCAGGAAGAAGAAACTTAGTAGATTTTATATATATGCTCACTGAGCAGAATAGATAGCATTTGCAGTTCTTTTATTTCCTAACCCAAATCGTTTGGTTTCTTCATATATATATGCAACACATTTCGACCGTTAACTAACTGATAAAAATCTTCAATCAATACTACACTTTCTTGTACCATGTAAATTAGTGAGTGATTTCTCCATTCTTTTCATTGTAATCATGAATCAATCATTGTTAAGCCAACCTTGAAAACCTAGGAGTACTGGACGGTCGTCTTGTCTTGGTATGGGACTCTTCACCAGTGTGCATCCACGACCCTCACACCCCCCAGGAGCTTCAGTCTCGCGCACGAACACTTAAGCTTTAGACCACTGAGTCAGCACCCCACGGTGTTAATGTCCAACTTTGATCAGTCTAAGATTTTGAAAAACCAGCATGAGCGAGGTTCATGGATGTGCACTGCTGATGAGTCTCAATACTAGGGACGAAACGGCTATTCAGTGCTTCCAGGTTTCTCTACTAGTAGTCCAACAATGATTTATTCATAATCATCAATGTAAAACAACAATAACAATCATAATCTTATTATAAATGAACATTTTCCAATTTTGTTACACTGAATCTTTGATATTTTATGTAATTATCCCCTCAACTACTAATTAATCACTTATAATCTTTCTATTAAGTATTACTTTTTTCATAGACAATCATAAGTTTTATAGACGCTCGCAACTTCTACATATATATATATATATATATATATATATATATATATATATATACGCAAATATACTACATTTGTGTATAACATTATTCTTATTCTAATTATGGCATGTATGTAGGCGGAAAAAATATTATATGATAATATTATAACTAACTAATCGAAGATGAAAAGTAGTTTTTTTGTTTTTTTTGTTTAAACTTGTTATTTCATTAAATAATATAAAATAGTAGTAATCATCTATTGTGAATTAAGAAAATTTGAACAATCAAAAAAAAAGAAGGAAAAAAAAACAAGTTCATTTATATATTGATTGTGTGAATATTTTCATTGATGTTTATGTTACGACTACACAATTGATCAAACATTTTTTTTGGCATATGTATGTGCATCCTGTGCACAGATGATTGCCGCCTCATATAGTATCATTAGATGATGAGTATGATAAGCAGAAATCAATAGGTGGCTAGCAGTTCAATCATATTTGGAATTCATCAGTTGAATGTACCAGCATCTTAGTGTGGTGTGTGCTACTTATACGAACGATATAAGTAGTATACGAAAGGACATGAAAGAAGAACTCTCACGGTCACATGGGGAAAACGGAAAGCAAATGGAGCAAAAGCAAGAAGTAAATGGAGTACCGACAGGAAGTAAAGGAAGCAACAGCAGCAATGGAAGAAGGATGGAGCGTTGGAAGTCAGGACTCAAAGATGGTGTGCAAATATAGTGTTCAATGTAATGTTTTCGTCTTGTTGGGCAATTCCTCCTCCATTGTCCGGTTCCTCCGCAAATATAGCATTTATTATTTCTTTCACCCTTTATTCGTAACGCTGCCACCTCTCGTTGTAATTCTTCTATCTTCTTCACGACATCATCAGCCTGTCTTTCACACGCCACCGAGGCGACTGTTGAGTTCATCAGTTGTCTTGTTACTTTCGCCAGCTCGGTGACGTCCATTGGTTGTGCCGCGTTTACCAGTCTCAACTGTTGGCCAATCTCTGCAGGCACACTTTCAATGAATTGCGACGCTAGCAGCTGTGTTTGCGACTCCTCATCCAAATTCGGCAGACCTCGGCGCAGCAATCTTGTCAACTCCACGGCCAGCACGAGTGGGTCACCATCCAGCGACAGTCTCGCCTCTCGGAACTTCTGCAGCGCGTCCTGCCTATTCGCCGGACTGTCGAACTCCACCAGCAGCCTTTCCGTCACTACCTTCCAGTCAGCGTCCTCCACACCATCGTAAACCGCTCTCGCCCTGCCTCTTAGTAGAGTCCCCAACATCACCGCCTTCGCCCTCCGTTCCTTGACTCCGACCAGCTCCGCCACGGCCTCGAACTCCTTCAAGAAGCTCCTTACATCTCCGTCTTCAAACTCCCGAGGCCATGGAATCTTCATCCTGAGTAGAGGCAGCGACACCAATTGAGAAGACTGAGGCAGGCTCAATAGATTGTATTTAGCAAATTTACACTCTTAGTCAATTAAAAACGAAAACATTACATTGAATACTCTATTTGCACACCATCTTTGAGTCCTGACTTCCAACGCTCCATCCTTCTTCCATTGCTGCTGTTGCTTCCTTTACTTCCTGTCGGTACTCCATTTACTTCTTGCTTTTGCTCCATTTGCTTTCCGTTTTCCTCATGTGACCGTGAGAGTTCTTCTTTCACGCCCCTTCTTATACTACTTATATCGTTCGTATAAGTAGCGCACACCACATTAAGAGTTGATATTCACTCTGAAACTCAAACTTAATACTGTTCGCTTGAAATATATATATAACAAGTGAACTCTATATCACAAAACGGACTAAAGTTGAATAAAAAGAATCTCGAATCATTGACTCAGTGATTAATTATTCGTGAAATCTTTTACTATTGGAGAGTAATGGTACACGGAAGGAGGAAGTTTCAATCAGTCAGCTACAACATAGAGCTTCGTGCGTACATACGTACATCAGTTTAGGTTGCCATACCACATCACAATAGCACAGAGACGCAATTATCAATTCAAATCCAAAGTAATATATGTTGTAATGGAGAAGATTAGGGTTCAAAGTTATAGATCGAAAAACAATAATAAAAGAAAAAAGGTCACGAGGAACACAGAAGATTAAGATTTGAGAGAAGATAAAGGATGTTTGCATGTGCGCCATTGCAAACGATTTTAAGCCGTGTCATTCAAAGTCTCTATAACCACCGGTCACAACTGCCTCGCGAGCACAGAATAGGTAGTATTCACTTACTAACTAACATACCTCAGTCCAATTTTCAATGACTTATTGGATTAGTACTAAGTTTTGATTTGGCCGCTCCTAGTTTTCTTCCAGCTTACTCATCGAGGTAGCCGGTAGTTAGTCATATATATAACACATGTTTCTAATGACCGCCTTAACTAATGAAGGTTCATTACTTCATAGATTGATTTGCCCTCACTTACTTCGTAGAAAAATGTCTATATAAAGTTACCACTAAACTGATTTTAATGAGGTAAAAAAAAGCATTTTCACATATATCGGTTAATTTTACATATGGCAACGATAAAACGGTATATGGATTTAATCGCCATTTTAACTTAACCGATTTCTGTACAAATTCCAGGTGAACGACTCAACAAAATGATTCATTAAAGATATATCAGTTCTAAAAATTACGATTTTAAATTCTCAAAAGCTTTCCTAAAATAATTACCATAACAGAAAAAAAATTAAAAAAAATATATCAAGAACAAAATATTAGTAAAACTTTACACATTTATCATAAAGAGTTCTTGATTGAAGAACATGAAATAATTATAAGCTATAATATATTGTCAAAGTTTCTGAATAGAATGATTAATAATCATTGAAAAATTAGCCTATATATATACATTGGTTTGGTTTAAATCTTAAGATATGAAAGTATTTTAAACATTTTTTTATATGTAAATTGTAATTCGTAATACAATTGATTTGCATCTATACAACAGCAAACGTTAAACTAGTAGTATTAATAATAATAATAATGATACTAAACCAATGGATATTAATAGGAAATATACACCTTTTCCATTACCGCTAATAC